TCAAAGTGTTATTTTTTATTTTTGCAGTCCTACTAACATGTAAACTATATATAAAATTAAAACATTGCTACACTTAAACACAAAAACATCCAAGCTACGCAGGATAAATACATTAATTTGCTCTGTTCTGTGATGTCAGTAATAAAATGATAAATCTAAAGGCATTTGGAGTAACTTCTGATGGCTTAAAAATAAATTTTACTCTCAGATCTCCTGCCTCTCAATGTGCATTTTTATTGTTCTCTGATTTGTATATAAAGTACTCCTCTGTCAAACCTGTGTTGGTGCACAGATCAGTCCTGGTGTGTGCATGAGATGTGCTATCCAGAGTGTTCAGCTGTTTTATATCATGTCTTTAGTAATAACCTCATTCATTCCTTCTGACACAACTTTCCTTTTCTTCTTTTTGGCATGGAGCTGGTGTGAGCAAAAATCACAACAAGCTAATTAACATTTTTCTTAATGTTAAATAAATAAAGGGTCTTCAAGATGTCCCAGTTTTCTTGCTGTTGTCATGTCAATGAGGCCATAACTGTTGTCCACTTTCTTCCAGCTTCATTATAATTTTTCTTTATTTGTTAAAAAAAGACAAAAACCTAAGCTTGTATTGTGTTTTATAGAATTTATTCATTTTTTTTAAATTATGCTAAATTTGTTTTAGTACCTTTTTGGTCACTATAATGTATGTGTTGGCTCAGAATCAGCGTAGACTAAACCCTTCCACTCTGTTCACTCATTCTGCAGAACTGATGTGTAGTCAGAGTAAAATAAAAAGAAGCAATATTGGTCTCTCATGCTTGTCTCTGCTTTCATATCTATCACAGCAGATATGGGATGTGTGAAGTGTAAAAGTAATAATGTTCTCTCACCCTCACCTTCTCTCTGCTGCTGCTGGATGACCTGGGGAGGTTGGGGCAGTGTTTGGCCGATGGGAGTCAGGGTAGTGGCAGGGTAGATGGCTGCAGAGCGGGTGGAGAAATGAGGGAGATAAGAGTGTAAAAACAGAATGGTGTCAAGGATGCTTAAGGTCGATCATACAGGTGAAGAATTAAAGGCTCTCTGATGTTGCGTTTCACACTGAACCCACATGACCTCATTACCTCGCAGTAACAGTGTGTATGCTATTAAGAGTTCATATTATTGAGATGATCCACTTTATTTCTGCACATTTTTCAGCACTTATCTCGCTCTTCCGTTTTCTTTCTTTTTTTTTTTTTGCCATTTCAACAATTCATAGATATCAAAAAGAAAAAAAAATAAGTAGGTCCTCTGGATGGGTTCTTCTTTAGTGAAACCAGCGGTCACTCTTTCAGGGATGAAGATGTTCTCATCCTTGATAGAGAGGAACATTGGTTTGAGAGAGGAGT